TATATATATATATATATATATATATATATATATGTTCCAAATACACAGTGAATGTGCTGTCACCTAACATGTACCCCAAAATGCGCGACATACTAAGATGATTTTAGTTAAAAGCTATGGTGATTAGAATTTGTAATTAAAAAATAATTGAAAAAATTACTAGTCAAATATCTTAAGGAAAAGAGATGATACAAGACAAATAAATATTTAAGCAAGCAATCAACTCGAGCATACCGTCAAATTCCTCCTCTGCGAAGGTGTCCTGGCAGTTGGGATTATGCAAGGGGCAGCAGAGGGTGTTTTGTGTGGCTGTACAAGGCCGCATTTCGATCTGCCCGGGTTTACACCTTCTGCAGGTCTGGCATGTGTCCGTAGCAGAGTCCGTTGACGACCAAGTGCCCTCAGCACAGGGCTTGCACACGCTGTTCTCGTTCCATTCACAAGGCCTTGCAGAAAAATGAATTTGAATTAAACTTTTTACTGAAGGCATTTGCTAGTAGACAGTCGATTTTGGTGTGGGAAGCGTACTTCTCAGCGCCCTGACCGGGAGGGCATTTGGTGCAACTTTGGCAGGTGGAATGGGCTTCAATGAAGAAGTAGCCTGAAACACATTCGCAGACAGCGTCCGACGTAGGCGTACAGTGTTTGCGAAACTTGGCAAATGGATGCAACTAAAAAGGGCAAAAATAATAAATTTTGTTCTAATTTTACAAACTCCGCCTGATTTCCCAAGCTTTCCAATTATAGGGTTCAGAGGCTATTCAAAGTAAAAGACTCTGGTCTTTGGAAATCATTAATAAATTGAGTAAGGGCAGTTATTACTGTTCATTACGCTGGAATTTTTATTTAATCACAAAGGCTCCATTTTTGTCCTGTCATTCAAACATAAAAACAACCGGCTCGAAAGCTTTTAAAAGATACTTCCTTGGCATTTGATGTGACAATAAAAGTTCTTAAGTTAGTCGAATAACTTTGGTGGACGTCTAAGAGAGAACTGAACTTCATCGCAAAATGCAAATGAGGAGAGGAAACTTGATTAGTGTTGTCTAAAAGTTAAACCAATTGTGGGGCCAGGAATTTTTTTGATTCATAAATTTAAGCAGGGTATCGGGAATACTCGCCACAAATATTAGGACATGTAAAATGATTTTTATTTAGCAAAAAGATCAGTCATTTTTGTCCACTTTAAGCTGTAACCTAATTTACTAAATAAACCATTCACTATTTTTTTTTATTTCCGGCACTAATAGCGAAAGTACACATTTAAAGAGATAGAATTTGCAATCTGAAGCTGAAACTTTAAAGCCTGTTAATTCAAAGGGAGTAAAGAGCTGATGTAATTATGAAAACTAGTACAAAAGGATTTTTTAATTACTTATAATGGTGTAGTTGTGGATCAAAATAAATCCAAATGATAAAGTAATTTGCTCATTAGAAAGAAAAAAATATATTTTGGAGAAATATTCTAGCCCTTTAGGTCAGATATGACTGACCTAATGGCTTTAACTGGATGAAAGTGGACACCTTACCTCTTGACATTGCCTGCACTGCATACATTTGGCAGTTGCAGAGGCCTCCAGAGAGAACTCCGAACCCTCTTGACAAGGTCTGCAGACAGTCTGTGTTTGGTTGGTGCAGAGTTGAAGCATCCCTTCGCCAGAGGGGCATTTATTGCAGCATCTCAGCGGTCCATTCAGAGTGGAAACCAACTCTTCATTTGCGCTAGGGCAGGTTTCCTAGTTGTATGAATTAGAAATGGGAAATAAAATTAACCCAGTTGTAAATGCAACAAAGAAATATACCAATTACTCAAATCACTAGCATTATTTGTTTCAAGAGCATACCAAATTTTGCAATACTTCGGTTCTATTTGGCTTCGAGTATATTTAAATCTAGCTGTAAGAACTAAAGTTGGTTTAATGGCGATTGCAAATACACGTTGGATGCCGGTCATGTATATATAATTGAAGATGTTGGCGAATGTCAAAGCTTCCTCTGGGAAGGAAGATGTAGCGATGTGGTATTTGAAGTTTACCAAGAAGAAGTTTTAAGACATTCCTTAAGCATTGTAAAACTGACACATTTTTCCAAATTTGTACAAACACTTGGAAATTGTGGAATGCCGCAGATGAAGAATTAACATACTCCAATTCTATTTCAAATTGCAAAAAAATATGAACCCATTTAAGACCTGTTTCAAGCTTTGTTTTTTTTTATTGGATTGTTATCCAAGGAAACTCAATGGATGAAGTGATCAAGAATTCGGTAATCACCAAAATATATTGTCAAAAAGTGGTATGCATTACTTCCCTGAGCTGTTTTATGGGAATGCGTACTTTGGCATGGAATTCGGAAATAAGACATTTGAATATTTACGCCGAATGGTATGGAATGGCTGCTCCCTCATCGACGATGAAATTACGGATAGTCAAGATGTCTACTATGCATTTTTGAGGAATTACTAACCCATCGACTCATAACGTGGATAATGGGTTTTAAGTATTGCCAGCCAATCAAGTCGACTACTGTTGATTAGTGGAAATGCCCTTACACCATATCCGATTGTATGGTCATAAACACATACGCCAATTATTTCGTCGTGGTTACCGGTGCAGGATCAGCATCAGCTGCTGCAACATTATCGATAATGACAATGGCAAGGAAAACAACGACGATACCAAGAACAGCACTGGATCATGATCTTAATTTCTTGCTTGTACGCGCGTGTGCGCTCGCGACGAGGTGTTCATTAAAATAACAATCGCTTTGATTTAACCGCCGCAGCCGCCACCGCCTCGTTTAAATTCCACACTCACGCACGCGTGCAAACACACATACCTCCCCCCTCTCACACAAATGTGGTATCGTGTGTGTGCGTGTTGGCGGCTTCTCTTTAATGTTTATGCCTTGTGTCGCCCAATAAACAAAGCGCAAGCATATTTGGAGGTAGTTATAAACACACCCACACGCACGCACACATCATAGAGACTGTCGGTATCTATTCCTCAGTTTTGTCTCTCTCTCTCTCTGTTTCTCTCCCATTCTCCATCATGACACACGCATGCACGCACGTTTTCATTTCCGTTGGAAAAAGCGCCCCTCCGTGCACGCATGCACCTTCGCATAGCACTTCAAGGTCGAGGAAGAAGGGAGAGAGGGGAGGAGAGAGGCCGATCACTTAGTGTGGGGCTCGAAACCATCCTGACTGCAGGTGAAGCAGCAGATTAGATGTAACTTTGATGTGTTTGCGCATGGCAATCACCCACGTGACATGCGTCAGAACAACTTTGGTGGTGACGGGGCCTGTTGCCTCAACGACCGCCGTCGGCACCCAAAATCGACTTTGTGCCTTCTCAACAAGTGACCGTACGTGCTAGTGTGCGTGGCTGGGTGTCGATACAGTTTTATGTGTGTGCGCTGAATGGCATTTTCGCTTTGATGTGCGCCTTGTGCAAATGTGTGTGTCCATAAAAAGCAGAACAAAACTACTCCATGTGTATGTGTTTGCAAGTCATAAAATTTATGCCTCTGCGTCTTGTGCGAAACCAAAAATTCACAAGTAAAATCACTTCGCATAGTGTTAAGTGCGGAACTGACTACATCGGGTGAAACTTGAACAAGTTCCTTTTCTCCAAGGCGGTGTTGAATAACCGAAACACGGGGCGCCACGACGGACGGAAAGCACACAGGTGAACACATATGGAAGGTGTGCAAGCATGCACATAACACGGCTGGCAAAATGAGAGCTCAAAGCGACGGGTTTGGCTTTGATGAATAACAGAGGAACTTTGTGTGTGCTTATACAAACACACATGCATGCATGAAATTGGGAGATGGCGAGAACGAGAGGGAGACGATTGCAATTTCGTCGGTCTTAGTTGCAAATGTGTACGACTGCGTGTGGGTTCACCAGACATCCAAAAATAAATCAAACTCCAGACCAGACAACTAGGGTACGGACACTCCATTACTTGCATAAACTCCGGTCCACTGAGAGTATAAGTGTATTATTTTGGTGTACCTATGGACATATTTAAACACATACTTTGCTTAGACTCTCGATAATGGCAAAACGGAACCTAAATACCTAGTAATAACGATTTTTCTAACAGTAGTAAGAATATCAAAGTAATCAGTTGTCTGTGCGAACATACCCGTTGAATCGGATCCAACTGAGTGGAATTGAGAGATTGTTGAAGGGCATGGGGCATAGCGGAACACCGGAAGGAAGAGAGAAGAGTCCAAATCAGAAGCGGAATCAGCATCTTTTCGCAGGTATACTTCTCTGTGCTATCTCTCCTTTTATTTTTCACTTTCAAAGTTGCCGCAAAGACTGCTCTTGCGTACCAGAATGTGTATTTGCAGGAAATAAGAGAGACGATGAGAAAGACAGCGAGAGATAGAGAACACGTGAGACTCCGATGTGTGGCTGTGAATGTGTGTGTGTGCGTATGCGCGTGCAAGCAGGCGAGCAAAATAGCAAAAAGTGTCATTAGGCCGCCCAATCCACATTTTATAGGTTACTCCAGCCAATCAGGGCTGTGGAGTGACCTTTGCACCGAGAGCGCACGCAATCTGATCCTACTGCGTCCATGGTTCAAGAAGTTCCAGTAACAAGGGCGAAGTAATTCTGCAAGCAATTTCCTTACAAATTTATTAGTATAAAAAGATAATCAGGGAGTCAGGACTTATTCTAGGACCTCTGAATTTCGAAATATGATCTCTAATCGTCAGATCACCTACTAGTTTCTGTAAAATCCTTAAAAACACAAGGGACAAAACATTGAAATTGAACAATTTTGATTGTAATCTTAATATTCCTTGTCAATATCATGATTAAAAGCATAGATTGTAAAAAAACTTTAAAAACATTCCTTTGGTTGGAAAGTTAAGCAATAGTGAACATATGAACGCAGTCGAGCCCCCTTTAGAAGTGTTTGGGAGAGTGAGGTAACGAACACACGGTGATTCACTTTATTGTCCTTCTACACCATTTTCTTTTAGCTTCTGAATATATGTGAGGCGTCGTATTAAGTTGCGCATGATACTTAAGGCTATCAGTTCTCCTCAAACGGCTAGTTTATGAATGACAGAGTTAAGGTGAATGAGATAGTGAAAGTGGTCTACCTTTAATATCACAAATTTTCAACATTTACTGCCAGTTTCTTAACAGTACAAGTAATCTAGGTGTGCTTGCTTGCAAATTGGAATAAGAAGTCAAACAGGACATAATATTCAGAAAGCTGATTTGACATACACTTTATCTCAATCAATTTTAGGCGTGTTTGAAAATGCGGCTGTTTGTGGGTTTGAATAGATCCAGGGTCGCCAGTTACAAATAAATTGCAACTAATAGAAAGTAATGCCATTGTCTAATGGTTCTGGAGAAAAACTTAATAACTTTCTTCATGGTAGTTACCAAGAAAACTAATTTCAGAGGAATTAATTCGGTCTGAATTGCAGCCCCATGGAGCTGGAAGTGTGTACATGTGAACAAGTAATTGCGCATGAGAATTCTGGAAAAATATGCCTGATCCAAATAAACCAAATCTGCTCTTTTATTATTTGCTTCGACTGCTTTAATAGCCGCAATTGCATACTAATCAGAAATATATGCAAATAGCTTTGGGGATTTAAGATTTTTGCTTTATTTTTATTTAAAAATTTGATTTGCCTTTATAATTGAAAACTCAAAATCGGTGCATTTACTTTGTATTGCAGACACAATTTACTAGTAATTTAAGAAACGGCCATTGAACCCGAAAATGGCCCCAGCATGGCGTTAACCGTCCTTGCTTTGATACATTCCGTCTTCACTAAAAAAATACCTTAAGTTTTGAGGTGAAACATCTTCGTTGGAAGAACTGATATGATGTTTCCATTGGTGAAATAAAAACTGCTTTATTACTTTGGCAAAGACGATGGGACGTTAACGTGTTTTTCATAAAAACACAGACATATTAATAAAATTAAGTGACTGGTTTCACCAACTCCAAGTCTGCTAAAAATTTGTTATCTTAGTCACTAAATTTCTACCTTCACACGGTTCACACCTTCCAGGTGTCGTAATAGTATCCGTCTTGGATGAATGTATGCCAGAATACATATAAAGTGTTGAATTAAAACTACCTTTCGTATTTATGGACAGAATGCATGAAATAGAACTCCGACGGGACATTAAACAACACGGCATCGTATTAATGGCCAGAACATGTTCAGTGGCAATCTGAAATGAAAGAAAGCGGCGTTATTAAGTTGTAAAACAACAGACTTCATGTGGCCATTATTCTACGACCGACAGTAAAAATTGGGCGCATAAAATGTGCCATAATCGGCATATGTAGAGAGGGGGAGAGAGAATGTGTGTTGGCGAGTGAGAGTGGGAGAGGAAGAGGCAACTTGCCCTGGTGGGTTTTACAACCTCAACAGAACGCCGCTCAACGGAAGTCGGTGGGGTGAACCTCCTTCTCTCAGAATTATTAATACATCAAACAAACGTCTGGGAAGTTAGGCTTGTTCCCACCTCTTCACTTGTGCATTTGTTTATATGATGTATAGTTTGTTTGGCGTTTGAATTTGCCAAACATTGAATTGATCACACTGGCTTGTTAGTGGAATATCTCCTGTGGGTTAGGCGGCCATAGAGGCTTGGATGTAATATGAACATTAATTTATTAAGTATTTACTTGAAGTCGGCAGCCGTTGTGTGAGTTCTCTGTGTAGTCATTAAGTTGTTTCAAATCGTGACGCATGAATTTCGTGAGTGTTTATTTATGGCAAGAGTATGAAAGGCGTGCGTGTCCACATCGTGGCACTCATCATGAAGCGGCATTTTTCTTTGATCAGCGGTTACAACCACACATACGTACACACACTGCGGGAGAGAGAGAGGACGAGATGCACAATAAATTACAAACCAACATCGTCGTAAATAGGGCTTATTGCTGCCCCTATTAAGTTGCATTCGCTGACGCTTTTTTCGTTGCTTCTCGTTTGTACGCGTGCGGCTTGACAGACTTCAAATAATCAGCATTTTATTTTACCTTGTCTTACCTATTCCCAAGTTTTTTGCCAAGACGTGGAAAAATTGCATGTTAAATTTCTGTTATTCTTTAAAGCGAGCCATTAGTGGCAACGTCTATGCTGGTCTTAATGCTTAAAACCTTACTATTTGAGACTTCTTTTATTTCTTCATGACGAAAAGTCTAGACAGTTGCGGGTAGAGTTGACCTTTGAATACAATGTATCAGCTTTATTGGGTGAGAAGAAAATTTACTAGGGACGTTACCCACGTAGAAAATTGTCCCAACGACACTTAGTAGATGTAAACACACGTAAGAGAATTTAATGTATTAAAAAGAAATTAGAAATGCTATGAAATCTAAAATGCAGCATAGACATGGGCACTAGGTGGAGCAAATCCCACATCCCATCTTGAATACCAAGCAGCCGATAAAATTGTGCGACATTACTTGAAATGCCAGTCTTGGCAGTAAAACCTGTAATTACATAACAAATAAACCTCTTTATGATTTTTTTAGGAGTGTCAGCTTGTATCCAACGCCATTGGGGTCAGACGAACTCCACCCAGAATAGCACCAGAAAGCTGCCTGAAAGTTATGAATTTTAGTTGATGTTAGGTTCCGGAGAAGACCCTTAACATTTTGCTGCAATTGCATTTAAGGTGTAAATAATCTGGCTGGGACTACAAAAATTTTCAGCCATACATATCTGCTAGTTAAGGCTTAAAACTAAACATTTGCCAAAAGCTAGTCTTTTAGCACGATTTGTATGAAGTTATAAAGCTGTTTTTACCAAAATCTTTAATTTGCATAATAACAATCCCAAGAAAATATCCTTGTTGAAATAATAATAAGGACAGTTATACATCTCTGCAATCTCTTGTTTAGGTCAAGGTGAAGCCACATTTTCTCTAGAATCGCATTTTCTTTCCCTCTTCTCCCAAGTTACATACACGGTTTAAGAAACCACAAGTAAAGATAAGTGGCTTTTGTAGGCTCAGGTCTCTTTAGTAGATATTTAGTCAGCATATATCTCACCGAATTTCAAATTTGCTTCTTGGCCAATTATTTAAAAAAACAACGAATGTAAACAGACACATGCAACAGAAATAATGTATTTAGAAACTCAACGAGAGCCACTCAAGAGAGTTGGAGTGGAGTTGGAGAGTCCAAATTCGAAAGCTTTTTTTAAAGAAACCGCTTCTAGCCGATGCTGTTTCAATCCTCCGGTGACATGTTAGGTCATTTGTAAGCCTGAAATTTCGTACGCATAATGCATTTTCGATATAATTTTGGATGAAGACTGCAAAAGAGCACTGTGAGTGAATAAAAGGCCTCTGGTTGCCCTTGAAATCTATTTTGACAGTTCAATTTCAGTATTTTTAAGGTATTTTCATTAATGAACGCACGTATCCCTTTAAAAAATCCCTGAACCTTTGCATGCTGTAAAGCTTTGAATGATGAATAAAAATACCTTTGCCATGAAGGTAGTAATTCTGCTTTCTGTCAGCATAGGATTTATAGCAACCTTGATTCATGGAGTTATCACACCGAAGACAGGACAAGGAATCTATAAACTATAAATATGAATCGGTGGATTTTTTTAAGTATTACCAACGAGTTACCATAAAAAAATTGCTGGACTGACAGAAATCCAAAGTCGTGGAACACTTTAAAATACCATACATATGTAACAATAGGACAGCTGTTTGTTTTGGTGGAACAAGTAATTTAATGAAACATCACAAAGATAAAGTGGCAAATGCAGTAGCACCTTTAGATAGCATATTTTACAAGCCCTCCTGAGTGCAAAGCGATTAGAGCCAGCTGTTTTCAGACTACCAGAGGTTTACGAGCTACGCCATGAATTTTGCGACAAGGCAGACATTGTTTCTGCCGAGTTCTTCGCTGTGTGCATTGATTTGTCGACTGACGCACTTTATGACACTGTTTTGACTGACACCAGGGCAACATGAGGCAGAAATTTCATTTTTAACTTGACGACAGCGCGCCTCCCTCCAGGTATCTCTAATGGCTTTAAAATCTGGAAGTTTGAAATTCACATCAGACGAGTTGCGGGATCGGCACTAATACAGGTACATAAGCGCGCAATCTTTATCAAATGTGACAGGCACTTCGAATACCTGGATTTTTAAATACTTTTTGATGATATGATTAGTATAGGCTTTTAAACTAACCAAAAATTGTTTTAAAGCATAAACCATAACAAAATATGTTTTTAATATCATTTTATCTCTTAACTTATTGAGAAAGAGTTCTGCAGCATTACTGCTAGTCACGTAGAAGTCTATGTAGAGTCAGAGCTCTGCCGCCTGATAATGTAGTAAAATAGGATCAGGTATCATCTTAACAAGGTAATGGGTAAGAATATCGAAATTCCTTTTGTCAGTAAAAGATTTGTTGACATGATTTCAGGCATGGGCATAATAAAAGTGCCTTGATGCTTGCTCTTTACGAGTCGATTCCGAAAAGTCGGATTGAAACACATTAAATCCTGTTGAATTTCTACAAGTAATAGTTGTTTAAGAGCATATGGGTTTTAAACATGAAGTGGTTTAATGAATCCATTTGCTTTCTGAGTCTTTAGCTGAAATACGATTCCACTTTTTACAACGTCTATTTCTAAAAAGTGATGAGAAATTAGTGTTATATAATGACCTTTAAAGAGTCAAAAGAGACCAATGAAGGTCTAGACCATTGAAAGTATCCAGAGCATTCAAAAATACAATTGCTTAGTTACCACATGACATAATATTTCGATGGATTCCCTCGGATTTGACCCCATAAATGACTGAAATCCTCCTTGAATCTCATGAGAATGATTTGTTTAAGTTGCTTCAAAACGTACGGTTTTAGAATGTGCTGGGTATAACAGGACCGACAATTGGACAAACCGAGATTGCACAAGTTTAGCAAGGTCGAGCAAAAGATTTTAACCTACTCCTGTCAAAAAAATTACTAATTTTTAAGGAGACTACTCACAAAAACAACTTACATTTTCTTTCCTATTTATACATTTTACATAGAATGTTAAATATTTTATTTGGTTTGCTAGGATGACCCCTTCAAGGTGCTCCAAAATTGTGCATTTTTAGAATCTGCCAGAAATCTTGGTACCATCTTTATTAAACATATTAGTAAAAGAAATTTGTAAAACCTCTGAGGAGTTAAATGTCTTTATGTTAGAATATTAGCGGATTTTCTATTTTGGAGATGCTCATTACTGCCAAATTAAGATGATATTTAAAACTTAGCATTTAATCTTCATTATTTTATTGTAACTGTCTTTTCCTTTTGCAGAACTGGCCTGGTAACAAATGATGCCACACCAGCCATTAGCCATCCTAAAAAGTTCGTTAATCAGCTGCCTTCAGTATCCCTATGACAATGCCAATGAAGTAGACACGCGATACTTCCACCTCTGTACTAGCTGTGTAGAGCCCAAATGGATATGGCTGGGCAGTATTGAAGTGAAATCAACTTAGCAAGGAGGAATAGACGCCAAACCTTATCTACACCAAGCTATTTTAAATCCCGTCCTTTCTAACATAACTCCCCTTTTGTGCCAGTGTTCTTACGGCTATCGGTTGACACGCGCGATGGCCTGCACATTCCCTCTTCCCCCAATCCAGTCCCCAAAAATGCAGAAACTTCAGCTCCTGTGTAGTCACTAAGAGGGATGAGTGAAGATTCAGTTAAATAACTTCACCATTGTACTTAAATTCAATGACTGGCGAGTTTGATTCGTGGAGTGCCTCCTTAGAGCACCGACTACCTTGTGATGGCCGACGCGGAAGGCAGACCAGGAGGAGCGCCGGGGGCTACGCTTAAAAGGGGAGGGGGACGGGGTTATACTCTGATTATTTATTAACCCTTAGTTTGCGTTTGGTGGGCATTTAAAGCTCCGCCTTTGTACTTCCGCTGGGTGGCATGGCCTCTGGGCCACGCCAGAAGCCTCGCCCCCAAATCCTCCCGTGCGTAGGCACTACATACCCTGCCCTTGTATTATACCTTCTTTCTTCTTTAAAAGAGACTTGGAGTGCTACAGTATTTCTTTCAGCAGTAATGCTAACTAATCACTTATCACCAAATATTAGTAATTTACACTATGTTAAAATACAACAAAAGAAAATTTGGCTAAAGGTGGAATCGCTAAGTCGACATAACTTTTCACCTGAACCAGACGGAATATCTTTCAAATCAGCTATCGGATTATGTACTGGCAAGCAAAGTCCAAGCTTTCTTATAACTTCAAAACTAATTTTTGCTCAGAATTTCTACATATCTCTAATAAGCCCCAATGAATTCTCGTGAAATTGGTGCCGTTGAGAAAAATAGTTAACACAAGACCTGCTTTCCTGTTATGAGACCTTTTCGAATTAAAACCTGTAAATAAGAGGGCCTTTTTATGATATTTTACCGGTCGCACAAAAACCAACCAGTCTAAAATTTAGTCCGTTCATTGTGGTTAACTCTGTTACCCATTGGCAGTACCGACACTAAGTCAGTACTAGAAATTAGGCACTTTCTACTTCTCCCCAATCTCCTGGAGATTTGTCTAGCACGGTTATGTGTTATGTGTCGTTGAGATAGGGATAGAAACTTTGTCCACATTTTATTCCATGAGATAAATTTATGTCGGAAGAAATAGGGATTACTTTTCCAGCCTCGCATCTGATGTACTTTTTTGAGGAAGTAAAGAATTCGTTTGCCCATTGTTGGAGGATTTTTAATGATTAGCTTTGAATGCAGTCCTTGTCATAAAATTATGCAGAAGAAGAATTCGGCTGAAAAGTTAAATGCCTTTACTCTTTGATTTCTACAATTTAGTAGGATATATTGCATGTAAGTAAAAAATTCACCAAAAAATAGCTTTTGGTCATGACTTCTTATTTGCTGAGAAAATTGAGAAACCATGTGCTCTTCGGTCGAGCAGATTACAAATGCTAAAGGGTTGGCACGTGTAAGTTCTGCTACCAACCGCGTAATTTTCAAGGTCTCAAAAACTGTTGGTAATATGTCTCTCTTTAACACAGCGTTCACACAAGAATGCTGCGAGATTCAAAACAATTCCTTGTTTTTAACCTTCAAATTCGACTGCGAGCAGGAACAATTAGGTTAGTTATCGGAACAATTAAAGGCAAATAATAGATTAACAGTCACTGAAGTGTTTCATATACAAAGAATCAGGAATGCGTGGGGAGGAGGAAGGAGGGCGAGGGCCAGAGCCGTGCTTAATGAGGCCTTTCGGAGGGTTTATAGCAGATAGAGAGAGAGAGGCAGTAACCGTCAGCTTTCGGCGATTTACGACGAGTCGCTTTGTGGATTCATAAAACTACCCTGCCGGTTTGCGCGCGTGCGTGCATGTGTTGTTGATTTATGCAAAATTTCTTTGCTTACATACCTCTCTGCCAGCGGGGGCTTTCGCAGGAAAACAGAAAATACAGACGGAACACTGGGAGTAGATACATGAGTAAGTCATCCTGACAGTCATAGAGACTGCAGACTGGATTTTTCGAATCGTGCAAGAGGAGTTTCACAAACGACCATGAATTATAACTCCAAATCGGTGCCGCTAGTGCTAGGATAAGTACTGCCGAACTTGTACTTTAGCGTTTCAAGTTTTTAGTTCTCAGAACTTTCATTATGGAATGTGACTGAAGACCATTCGGTTTGAATGCTTTCACATTTGCCTTATAGAAAATACCACTTAATCAGATCATTAACACCAATAGCAATGGAATTTGTGTAGTGTTAGGTAGTAAATTCTCTTAATGCTTTTTTAAATTTATTGGAAGCAAAGATGGAAATGGGACACCTGTAATGTACAAGCTCCTTTAGGAAGAATAATTTGTAATTGGTGGCTCCAAATAAATTGTACTAGATTTTTTTATCTTCAACTTTATGGATGAAGTTATCCGTTCTTTTTCAATTAGATTTTTAATTTTGTGCTGCAAAGATTTTTGTCGTTTTCAAAACGTATAAAGACCTGATGCGTTTCGGCATAATTGATATGAAAACATAAACACTGCAAAAAAATTGAGGGATATTTTAATTCCTCCACAATTTCTGCAAAATTTCCCACTTCCGTTTGATTCCAAGATTTATCACTCAGTTGAAGTCCAGCTTGCTAATTACGTATGTGAAAAGACGCCTGCTCTCTTTTTGGAATATCAACATATAACGACGACATTTAGTGCCAATTCTATTTATGCTGGTTCATAAACCAAAAATGGGCTGTAGACCAGGACTTAAGAAGGCATTACTTCTTTTAACTTTCCTCTATGGCTATTTTGAGGACTGATTAATAATTGGCTCACTGCTGTGTCAAATCACTGAATTGCTGTGGCTCTTCTTCCACCTCCCGTTTCTGCGGTTATGACCACAGCATCTCGAGCGGCGACTCTCTGGCGCTCTCTCGAATATCCTTTGAAGTTGCCGCCCATGAAGGCGAGAGAGGGTGCAGGCAGTTAGAAACGCACCACCATCACCTCCACCACCTCGGCTGCCGTCGCCGCTGCCGCCGTTTCCACCTACGCGGGCAACCCTCACCCCTTGCCCTTCGCACACCCACATGCAGTCCGCGAACGTCGACACCGTCTTAAGTGCTGTTGCGGCGGGCAAGTTGCACGTGCGCACGCGCACGCAGGACGCGTAGGCCAATTAGAGGGCGCCACAATACCGGACTTGTGAACGCATAATGCAACTCTAATGCTCGATTGTAATCGTCACTTGGACGACACATTCTCTGTTGGTGTTTTTGTGGAGCAGGTACTATCAGCCTAGAATAGGTATCAATATAAATCAAAACTATTATCCACTTGATCGCAGAAAAGGTAATTGGATATCAAATTGAACGTAATGACACATTTAACTACTCGTAAAACAAATTAAAAGATTGTTTAAAAAATAGTGTGCTAATTAGATCGCAAGCTAATTTTTTTACCTATATTCATACAGTTAGTGATTAATAGAAAATTAGGTGACTAAAGAAGCGTTTGCGGTTTTCAGGACAGCTCTTTGCAACGACTCGCTGTAACTAGTAAAGTATGCCTATACATGTGCTTTATGAAGCATAGAAATGGGTCATTCTACTTGCACGATGACTTTTACTATTCCCTGTACTATTTTCAAATTATTTTAAACTCTCATACCGCGAATCAAGGTTATCTGCTTTGTGGACCGAAGTTAATTCGATCCCTTTGGTGCAAATGCATCCTGCCAATACTGTTGCACAGCCTTTGCAGAAGGCGCTGTAATAGAGAACACTCCTTGGAACTGACTTTGATAATTTGATCATGGTGGTAGACCACCCAAAAACAGATACATCACCATGGAAAGGATCCCCTATTCACATTAGTAATACAAAATTGTATGCACCTATTAGCACGTTACCATAGTCAGAAACTAAGGTGTCATGAACAATTTTTAGAAGTGTTTGAAGTCACGAGTGTTGAAACATTCAGTTATAACTGTATCACCTGGGAAGGGAGGGAGAGTCGTGGAAGCTATTAAGCAAGTGGGTGGCAGTATGCTTTAAAGATCACCATTTTATTCTTCCCTTCTTCACTTCAAGTCCGTCATAAAAATGCGTGGTGCATTTTATGTTGTTCGTTGACTGACTCACTGACTTGTGATGACAAACGCTTTGTGTATTACAAAGCTGAGTGACCGAGCATATCAGCCACAATTCCCTGACCATCTACTTACGATCTCATACTTCAATAAATGTATAAATTCACCCCCATAAGACTGTGCTCTATGTGCCTGTGTGGATTACAGGCAGAAATATTTACTAAATGAAAGCTAAATAAGTGTACCAAAATCTACTTACTTAAAACGTCTTAAGAATAGGCTACGACTGTCAAACGGAAGAGTCTTATTTTTGAAGGACTTGTTTCTCGTTGAGAAAGGCTTAAAGATTGCAATGGTGATTATTTTAAGGTGTGAAATATTTTAAGTAACTATCTGTATCTATTTGATTTTATCGATGGAAAATATACGAACTAATTTGCCTACCACATAGGTGACAAGATTGAAAGGTCCATTAACAGTAATAAAGACTAGATTTTTGATAACACAAAAACATAAAACTCTTTGTAAACTCAAGTACTTTGCTCTACTTTATAATGGAATACTTAAGTCAGGGGAAGAAAGTGTTAACACTAAATGAAATAGTCCTTGCCACTGATTTTTGAAATATATTCTAAGTATAAACTTAGAGAATGATTTACTGATACATGATAAAACTACTGCTAAAGGTTTTTTTTGCTTTTTTGAATATAGCATAAAAAGGAAAAGAGAATTGAGTGCACATCAATCATGCATATCCCAGAAACCATCATTCCCTTTTTGACAATTGGCCTTGCAAATAGGCTAATTATATCCATTCAAAAGTTGAAAAAAAAAGAACTCATTTTCTGTTACTTTGAGGGATGGACAACTTACCATAACTCAAACCTTTTCATGTTTCGGCAAGCAGAGAGTCTTTAATGATTTAGCAAATGTAATTGCATTTATAGAAGATTTTGTATTTAGTAAGAAAGAGAATTATGCCCTTCACTTCCTCTAACCTTTCTCTAAATAAAAATACATTTATTAGAAACATGGTCAGGTTTTAGGCAACAAGATTTTTATTTCATTTAGCAAATGATGCATAAAATAACAAAAATTTTGAAAGAAAACAGCCGCATCTTAATAGTGCGACTATATGAAGACGAAATACTAGTAAACTTTCTTGCATAAAACTACCAACCACTTAACTCAGACCTTCTACTGTTGCTGGATCTGGCGACTGATACCAACGCTTTGGGTCATGCTTCCCGTACACGAATGCAGTTTCAGGCAGCAGTGCCTCGTGGAGACAGATCATACCCTTCCTTGCTTTTACATCCACTTTTTGACCTGGGGAGTGGTGGGTTTTCATTGTTCGATTACGTGTCACTTGTGGAAAATTCTCACGATAATATATTTCGCTATGAGTCACTTCGAATCCATCCAATGTTGTCTCTCGTTTCCACGCTCCTTCTCGTCAGCATTGACTGTGCGAACATTTGAAGAGAGGAAAATGACTGGTCCCACAGCCAGTCACATTCATTGTTCTCAACTCAACACCCATTTAAGTGTTCGTCGCCTTTACTGGTAAATTTACACGAAACTAAGTTCCTTGGTATTTTACAAATATGCCCCTGATAAGTAGTATTTATTTCGTTATTTTTGGCGAAACCCTAATCATGGTCACTGGTTTGTTTGGTTGGAACGCTTAGAATGTTTTATCTTGATGCATAATTAAACATTCCTATCAAAGCTTAAGCTATTTGAATGTTAAAATTTGATAACAAAACTTTCAGATATGTTTATTCGTTTGGGCTATTTTTGCAAATGTTTGTAAGACAATACTAACTGTAATAATACTAAATTGAAGAACTGACCATCGCACATTGTACTTAGTTTATATACTAGCGATATCGCAATGGAGAGAAGTCTTTTATAAGGGCAAAAATTCATGGGAAATCAGAAAACGAACAGAGGCAACAGAAAAAATCCGTTTCACAAAGTATTCTGGACTATGTTTCTGAACCAACCGATGATAACTTCAGAGCACTGAACTTTTGACCCTAATTACTTACTATTGAAGCACAGTTCTGAAAATGCTTTGTTCACCTGTACGTTAACTTCCATTCTCAAAACTAAGTCGAGAATATTTAGTAGTATCAGATGTTGCATGGTGGGTACTGGATTGGTGTTATACGGAAAGTGGTGAATTTTTATAAGGGGGAGGAGATTGGTTTGAGTTTTTGCACTGGGGAGGAGGCGTCGCCATGTCAACCAAACGACTCAAGACTCTATCCGAAAACTAACTCTTCACTTCATGTATCTTAGTCATTTGCTGACAGGTGACGTTTGATGTTTAAGCTCTTCAGTTCGGTTTATTTTAATCCAGATTGACACTTTGTAGGCGTCACAAGTATGTGACGCCCCATTACTTGCCTAGACCACATGAACATGTGACGTGTTCTCCTTATCCTTTCGTAATAACGAATTGGACCAAATCGTGAGCTTAAAGCGATGCAATGTGTGTAGACATAGAAAGATAATTTTTTATTAGTTTAGGAGTTTAAAAGTATCTCTTCCAAAATTTGATAGCACTTGTTGATATGCTGGAATAATAAAACTCCTTGATTTTTCCCCGAAAATGTGTTAGGAATAGCAATCACAAATTGGTAAAGAAAGTGTGTAGGACTTGCAGATTTGATACTTAATTCGACTTTACTTGGCAAGCATGCGCTGCGGATTTGCCCTAAAATGTATCAGTAACCATTTATATACTAAAATTGTTAGCTATGCATTGATTCAAACTAAAGATCATTACTGCTACGAAGGGGTAGACACCAGAGGCAACATGAAGGTGGGCAAACAAAGGCATTTGTCTAAGTGGCTTTTCAAGTGAGTGTGTATTCTATAGTCGCGCAATGCTTGACATGCAGTGCTCTATTGTATGACCTACATCGAGGCGATTATCCAATATCGAGGCAGCACTACCACTGCCCCACGATGTGGTTGCAAGGCCTATGCCTCTCCCAAGCACCCACACCCGCACACTGTCCAAGCACCCACATGCGCGTGAATATCTCACTCCGTTTGCTGCAATCACAGCGCTTTGATGTCGCGCTTTGATCTACCTGCTCTGCCCCCGTCCCCATTCGGTTTGTGCGTTCGTCGAGACGGTGAGAGAATTCCTCCACTCCAACAGGGTGAACTCTCCTTAGGACTTGTAGAAAATTCCTTTTTAGAGTGTTAATTTCCTCTTTACTGAGTAGGATCCTTAGGTGAACTCTAAGTAGTCAGATTCATCGTACATTGAGAACAAATTTTTACTATGGATCATGTAACATTTCATCGATAAAGATGATAGCGATTAGTATTTTCATCCTTTAATTTTTGAGTAAAAAGCAGAAATAAAATCAAACGATTCTAGTTTATGACAATCATGCTTTTGAAAGTGAGAATAAAGAAGCAAAATCACTTCGCTTATCACTAAAATATTTAGCCTTTGCATAAATCCTTCCATTGAAGTATAACTATTCATAGAAACAGGGGTTTAATTTCTGATCCAAAACTCGATAACCTTTGGGGTGAAATATTTGATAGGGATAGATAGCCACATAGTGACGGATTGCGAGTTTCCAAGCTCTATCCAAATGTGCAAAGACACATTAAGGGTTGGTGTTTAATTTAAGAAGGAAACATTTTGGTAAAAGAGCCACTTCGTGAACATAACAGAGGTCTAAATTTGGTTTCAAACTCCACAGCCCATTGAAAAAAGTGTCGAAGGTGGGTGGATGAGGACGGATGGAGCTATCTCTGATAAACACCTGCATCCAAGTCGCTCTGGATTTAAACCAAGTGCAGGTTTGGTATAGAGTGCAGAGATTTTTAGTCAAACAAAAGTCCATATGGTTCCTATCTTGAGGATGCAAAACAAACAGAGGGAGAAGGGGATGAAGATATGTAGGTAGATAAATGGCAGCAGCCGCTTTTGGAATCAGCGTTAACCACCTGCAAATTCCGGCCTCGTTTTGTATCCACCCCCCTTCTAATTAACTCCATCTGCTGTCTTAGAAATTGTCTGCTAAGGTCCAAACGCTTACAACTTGTTCTGACAGGGCAAGATAGAGAAATGTGAAAATTTATGACTTTGTCATCTTGTGATTTTATGGCATCATTTATGATCATGTAAACAAGGAAATGCAACATATGTTTATATGGCGTGCGTTTGTTTTATAAGTGTTGTATATCATTCTATTGTCAAAAAGCAAACATTTAGTAGATGGACATCTAGTACGCCGTGCAAATATCACTGGGCACATTGGGGCGTGACTGGTGTAGGTTTGCGGAATTACATGCATAAAATACTGTTCATTACTATATTATGCCAGTTAATAGGAATTTACTTGTTTTTAAGTTAAGTGCATGATAATGCACGCCTCACGATTATTAATTTCCCTCAGAAATTAAAATCCGCCTCTTTAGCACTTAATAAATCGTTGCATCATTTAAAATAGTAGTTCCACATAACACTTCTAAGTAAAGGAGTGTTAGTATGTACATCTCATTGATAAGGTTGTTTAAGCAATCCGATATAGCAAAACCGTTCATCAATTTTCTTTGAATGCCGATGAAGACAAAACTTAAATAAAGTACTCTGCAGTGGCTCTTATTACATTCATTTAGGTGACCAGCCCATTTTACTGAAGAACAAATATTAAATGGCACGACCTTTGATGAACACCTCTTTAATTTGTAATTCCTGGGAAGTTATTCAGAAGACTGTTACCAGGCTATTAAACTAGTACAACAAACGGGGATTTATGCAGCAGTTAAGGGCTGTCTAAATAATGGGTTGAATCGACAAAATTTGGCAAAATAAACACAAACAGTAGATAAGTCAATAGGAACCTATAATGCATAGAAAGGAAGGGGGTAAATTAGCTTCATTTGCATTAATTCCAGAACAGACGAAATAAATATTCATAAAAAAACGGCGCCCCTAGACCCATAAACTTAAAAATTGCATCAAACAAATCTCTGTACAGATGTTACACAAAGTGTGTGTAGTTGGCGTTGGTCATAGATTAATGCTGGTTTAACGATTATTATAGGCTTGAAAGATTTGTAACAAGTAGTCCTTCAGGCACATTATCATCCAGGCAGACAAACTAGTTGTGCGAAAAGTACTTTGAACAGCGTATAGATGCTAAGGAAGCCTTATAAATTCCAAAACTTCTAAGTTTATAGCCGGTTTTTTCCTGAGTAAGGTTAATATGACTGATTAATTAAAACAAGTTAAGGTCCTCAAAAGTGGCAAATCAAATAGCGTCTCTGGTTTCCGTTTCGCTAGAAAATGGAATCTAGGTAATCATGCTATTTGTATATATTTGCCTCAGGTCAATAAGATCGATAACTTCACTGAAGAGGTTCGTTTGAAAAACTCATAAACAACTTTAGCTATGAAATTCTGAATGTTAATCCACAATCACAGATCAATGAAGTTCCAAACCCCAAATTTAACAGAGTACCACCTTTGTAAGAAGTTTGCCTAATTTTAGGCTGTGGAAATTTGTAAGCCTTTTTGGCCAACCACCGAACAATGCGAAGCAATAATGCATAAGATGAATATTGAAATGACAAAAGGTCTCAATACACCTGAGGACCCGACGAACGATCTAAAAATGCTTAACACATATGTTACCAACTTACCCATGGGAAATGGTAGTGGATATGCACGCTTATTTCTCTTTGCATAGAAACGGGAAGATATTTGGCCCTTGACCTTGGTGGAACGAATTACCGATTGCTTTTAGTCACTTTTCATGCACCTAAGACACCTCCATTAATCGAAGCTGATGTATATACCATCTCAAACGAGTTACAAACAGGCAAAGGAGATGAGGTACTTATAATTTTTTTGATTTTTTATGATTAAAGTTATTCAAATTTATTGCTGGGACAGTGAAAACATTTTTACAAACGCGCAATCTTCTGGACGTTCCTCTTGATTTAGGATTTACCTTTTCCTTTCCCGTCAATCAGGAAGCACTAAATAAAGGGACGCTTATTCGCTGGACAAAGGGTTTTGATGTACCTGACGTAGTTGGGAAAGATATAGTTGAAATCCTTAACGAAGCGATGACATCTTTGGTAATTAAAAACTAAATAGATAAACATGATAAATTTAGGGATTAAAAGTAACATGTCGGGCCCTTGTCAATGATACTGTTGGAGCGCTAGCTTCCTGTGCTTTTCTGGATCCGGAAACTGCGATCGGTTTAATCGTTGGTAAAGATATTCGACGGATTTTTTACAAATTTAATTTCTAGGTACTGGTACTAATGCGGCATATGTGGAGCAACTCTCTGCCGCCAAGAAAATAACTGACTTACCGAAGAACACACAATCGGTAGTCATCAATATAGAGTGGGGTGCGTTTGGAGAGCATGGATGTCTTGATGAATTTACCACAGAATTCGATAGTTTAGTTGACATCGAATCACTAAACCCTGGCAAACAAACGTAAAGACTGCTTTATTATGCCTACTATATTGATAGATTTGAAAAGATGATTAGTGGCATGTACCTTGGAGAGATAGTGAGATACATATTAAAGAAGCTGGCATCAGAACACGTCATCTTTGAGGGTGTGATTCCCGAACGTTTGGACGCTAAAGATGGATTTCCTGCCTACTTTCTCAGTGAAGTTGATCGGTCAGTTACATTTATTGCTTTTGTTAATATAAAGAAGCAAAATTGAGAGAATTTACTTTTGACTTTTAGCGACCCAACACACCTCTTCTACAGCACCGAATATATCCTTCGTGAGGCCTTTCGGATGACAAAATTCACTACCGAAGACCTAAAGATAGTTCGCTATGTTTGCAGTTCTGCAGCCAATCGAGCCGCAAGCTTTGCTGCTTCAGGTAAGAAAAGTTAACAGTGTAGTAGAGCAATTTGCATTGAAGCTTATTTTGAAGATTATTAGGAATAAGGGAGGAGAGGAGCTTTTAGGCTAAAATTTATTAGGTCGTCAAGATATGCATAAAGCAGAATGACCACTTAGGTTTGGCGTGTCTTCTTAATCGGATTGATCGACCTCGTACAACAATCGCGGTGGATGGATCATTATTCAAATTCCATCCAACTTTTGCCCGAACAATGGTCGAAGTCATCACCAAACTTATACCACCACGTTGCACTGTAAGTCGTTTGTACTGAGTTGTAGAATTTGCAAAGAATTTTAAAAGTTCGCATTAAAATTAAATGCTTGTTATTTATTTTGTTCAAAAATGGCGAAAAATTTTATAAAACTGCATGAATGCAGGTAAAAAGGCTGATAAAACCCATAAAAGATTAGGATTTTTAAAAGCAACTTTTCTAAAGCTGGCTATTATTCAAAGGCTCAGTTTTCGCCTCATCCAAAGGGAATCTATGCAGATTTATCCCATCGTATTTGGTGATACTTTAAAATCACCACCCAATATTATGTGACTTAATTGAAATGGAATGACATTGTGGATTACAAACTGACTTACTTTGCTTCTGGACTTCATTGTTATCAAAAATGAATGTCGTTTTAGTAAGGGAATTTTGAGTTGGTTTCCTTGATAAGAATTGTATAGCTAGTTTAGGTGACAATTCTTCAAAATGCAATTAAAGGCAATGCCTGGATTCATTAACCCATATGACAAGATTATGAAGTGACTTTCAGGAAATCAGTGAGCCTATCACCACCTCACACCTAGGGGAACACATTTACTGACTGTTAATTGCGATTTTGTATCAAAACTGAGGTGGAGGCATACAGTGCAAATAGAATTGCAAAAAATAGAAATGACATTCTTAATCAGGTACTTTTGAATTTTATAGTCGCATGCATTGCCTGTGTAGTGGGCAATAAATAATTACCGCTTAATAAACCAGCCTTCAGCAAAGTTTGTTAACATCATCCCAAGTATCACTTTGCAACTAATAATTTATTTTCAAAATTTTTAGTTTCGCCTGAAACTTTCGGAAGACGGTAGTGGCAAGGGTGCAGGTGCCTTAGTTGCAGCTGTCAAACGCGCAATAGTGGAGGAATAGATTTGAGAAAATATTTTTATGGATACTCCATTGTATTATCAATCATTTCTACTTTCATTTGGGACTATGATGAGACGCGAAGCCGGATGCGTTCTATCACCGTTGTGATTTACCCTTAAATATACATTTAATTTCAAGAACTGCAGCACGCGTGGTTCTTCGGGGTTTGGATTTCATCGAGTACAATATATATCTTGTACCATTTGAGAGGTGACTGCCATGCAAGTTCAAGTAGTAGTGTGATACTTTGATTGCTTAATTATCGGCTTCGTTAACAGGACGCTTGGGAGCTTCGGGCAGTGTTGGTAGCTCTTAAACCCTTATGTATGTCAACAGTACATTTCCTGTCCGCGTTTTATGTCTTCTTTCGTCTTCAAAAAGGTTTCAGAGAGTCACGATAGTTGTTAGCGCATTTCTACTTCCAACTTGGTTCATTAAACATTTCGAAACTTCATAGATGTCTACAAGGCACAAAATATCCTTGATATAGACTTCTGCATATTTCCTCATATATTGCAAATATTATGAGTTGCCATTACGATATTTTGGGTTGATGCACAAAATACATTCCCTATCCCCATTGATAGTGTCACTTAAGGAATTTTGCCTAAAATAAATTGGAGTAGAAATGCAATTGCTCTCACTAGCTTTGTTGCATTCAACAAAATGGAACAACGGAACCATCAACAGGTATTGGGGCTAAATATTTGATAGACGCCAAAGTAGCTGCAAGCACCCAATAAGACTTAGCAATCTATTGGTAGCATGAAACAAATTGCCAAACCAGGTAATCTTTATCTCTCCTAAACTCTTTAACTACGGAAATCTATAAAAGTGGAGCAAAAAGGTCGGAAAAAGTCTAAGTAATCCACAGAAAAAGAGATATCTATTACTTCATTCGCCCTCGAAATATCTAAGGGATGAAAGGTAGAAAAGATATCATTTAATACGCTTTTTAGTTAATAAATAATTTTTGCGTGACTCAGTATTAAAACATAAAACAACGGAGTGGTAATGGGCAATTGTCAAAAATGGATGTGTGGGATATGAGCGAGAACGCTTTGGGGTAAAACAGTCATGCCTTTAATTTAGCTAAGTGTAATGCTATCTCTAGGCACATTCACAGAACGGAAATTTTGAAAAATAACGCCGCTGCGATAGGAAGTTAAAAATGCATCTCCAAACGTGCGACGATAGGATTTTGGAGGCAGGATTGACATTGCTAACGGCAGGCTATGTAGCCTATCATATGCGTCAACACAGATGTCAGCTACTTAGAAAGACGGTTTTTAATGCCCTCCTTGACATTAACAGTAGTTATACACATGTACCAACCAGCATGATGGCTAACCTTTTCACTACTGCTATTGTAGGAAATGATATACTTTACTAAGTTAAATCAAAGCTGCATTTCTAAGGAAAACCCTTGGCAATGTCTTGACCTCATTGAAGCCAAAGTGATTGCCACTTTACTTCCAAGTGACCGTCTTTTGAGCGACATGCAGTAAATTGTTACCTGAACAAAAAACTTAAAAATAATTTTAGTTCTTGATTAATAAGCATTTGCAAACACGTTTAGCATCAAAGTTACCTAATGTTTAAATTCTATGAGGTAATTTTGCTTATATTTGGGGTAATACACGAGAAAGCATGCGATATTAAAAATAAATAAGCTTGAAAGGAATTCTACAGGACTAAATATTCTTAAGAGGCAAAAATTTTTCCAGGAAACATAGGAAGTAGAAAGAGTACAAGTTTGGTGTTATAATAAACCATCCACTGCTTTGCCCCAAAGACCATTGACGATAGCCATCCTTGAACTACGATTAAGTTGCGAGAGTAATAGGGAAGGAGGAGAACGATCACTCCCCGATTCACGCAAAGCATATGAGTAAATATCTGGCGATGGGAGCATCAACAGCTATAAAGTCCAAAGCCCCAAAAAAGACATTGGAGAAGTTACAAGTTCTGGCTTGATAATCATCGAAACGTGTCGAGTATAAAAAAGAATAGGTGAAAGCATGAAAACAAAAGTAAATATAGGCTACGTATTGGTAACTTAAAACTTAGAAAGCTGAATACTATTTATGAAAAACAAAGATCAAACTACCTGGAGTAACTTTGGGACATGCAAGCTAAAACTACAAATAAAACTATAAATAAGGAAATATAAGTTATACATCCTACTATAAGTAGGTTAAGAAGGAGGTATATAAAAGGGAAAAAACATTCGTTATTTGTTATGAAATGCAAGCGAAATCAGAAAAAAATGCCGATATGTGAAAGGATACGAATTAAAAGTGCTTTGTAATAGCATTGGAGAGCCAAAACTCATTATCATTCAGTCTCTTATTTCGCCTTCTCC